TGGTGTGTTTTGTTCTATTAAGAGTAAAATGCGAGTTTATGAAATTTGCATTGCAAATGATAGAGTGCTGAATAACCACTCTTAGCAGTTTCCTTCCATAACTAAAAACCAAACACAGTTGTGATGCTGTCGGCTCAGTCTCATACTCACTCAGTTATTTTATTTTCCTTGTTGTGTCCAGTATCTAATCTCTTTACAAGAACTTGTCAGTTTGGAGATGAGCCACCTGCCTCCTCACCTCAGTGAAACTGTGCTCTTGGCTTTTTGTGTTAGTGCTTGTTGCTCAATGCTCCGGGGTTTTGGTGGTGCAGGAAGACGAATGTGCCTGTACCTGTCGGGGTTTAAAGAGGCTCTCGGGAGGAGACGAGGGAGTTAATCAGTTGCATCATGTGGCTGTTGTACATTTGAGGTTATCTTTTTCTTATCTTTATCTAACTTTTTCTTCCATCCATCCATCCATTCATCCCAGTCATTATTCATTACTTCCAACATGTGTCCAATGACCATCTGGTGTTGTCACACATGCGTCCTTCCACCATGTGTTCATATTTAAAGAAGTTAGCTCTGTTACCAGAATGGTGCTAGGATTATTCCTCATAAGGTACACTTCAGGAGGAATAACAAAGAAGCGGTTATCTCTTAGGGGGATTTCGTTTAGACATCACAGCTTTAATTTTCTCGTAGCATTTTCCTGAAAATGCACCGTTTAAAGAGAAGGCAAAGAAATTGGCTAACACCACTGACTACAATATCCCAACAAATCTAACAGCTTTCTAACTGTGCTGTAATTGCAACTCACTCCTCTGAACACAGACTGATCAAAAAGATCAATTGTCAGAGCTTCTATGCACACATGATTTACGTTGTGTGCCACTAATTGAAAATTCCACATTCACACGATGATTTTTAATCATCTCGAGCAATCAGAACAAATGCAACCAGTCAGACCTTTGTATCTGTAGGTCTTGAGTTTGCTTGGTAGAAGCTATTCATAACACACATAATCAAAAGATTTTTAAAATCCATCTTATCTGTTCTGCACCAACTTTAATTGCCTGCAATCCTGAAATTTTGGCTGTAACCTGCACTCGTATGAGCAAACAGGAATGTTGATCCTGAAAGAAACTGGTAAATCCATGCAGGCGGTCTCCTGTTCTGCCAAACCTGTGCTGCTTTTGTCTTTGCTCGCTAGTTTCTTTTCTTTCTTTTTTT